GCCAGGAGGTTGATCAACATATACCTGTTCTTCCAAGTATCCATGCAAGAATGCCGATTTGACATCAAGCTGGAAAATCTGCCACGATTGTAGTGCCGTTAATGCAACCACTAATCTGATTGTGTCATGCCTTGCAACTGGAGAGAAAACTTCTGTGTAATCAATCCCGTACCGTTACTTGTATCCATTGGCAACCAAGTGAGCCTTATACTTGTCAACTTCACCTTTCTCATTTAGCTTTGTTTTGAAAACCCATTTCACACCAATGGTTTCCTGTCCATTTGGTAGATCACATGGTTCCCAAGTATCATTTTTTTCTATTGATGCAATTTCTGCATCCATAGCCTTTTTCCATTTTGATTCCTTGACAGCAACTTCAAAAGTAGTAGGATCACAATCTGAAAAGAGAGCAAAATGTGTAAGTACACCCTCACCTTGGTCAACTCCAGTAACCTCATAATCTTCCATCCATGCAGGTCTTCTTCTATGACGTTGAGGCCTTTGTGATTCAGCTACAAGTGGACTTTGATCAACTATAGGAACATTCTGATTTCCTTCTACTTCTTGCACATTTTCCATAGGTTTCTCCCTTTCCTCATAATCATTAAAGGCTATTAGGATACATTGTTTAGCCTCATCTTCTTTCCATGACCAGGTTGCTTCTTCATCAAAGACTACATCGCGGCTAATGACAATTTTCTTAGTGCTTGGATTGTATAATTTGTAAGCTTTTGATGCATCACTAACACCAAGAAAAATGCATTTTTCTCCCTTGCTATCTAGCTTTTTTCTCTTATGATCTGCAATATGAGCATAAGCGATACACCCAAAAACTCGAAAATAGTCTACGGCTGGTTTTGTTCCGCTCCATGCTTCTTCCGGTGTCATATTTTGAACAACAAGTGTGGGACTTCTGTTCAGTACATGTATGCTCCAGTTGACAGCTTCTGGCCAAAAACTTTTTGGAATACAACTCCTTGACAAAGTGCTATGCACCATATTCATAATAGTGCGATTTTTCCTCTCACATACGCCATTTTGTTGGGGCGTATAAGCTGCTGTAAGTTGCCTTTTGATTCCATGAGTCTCACAAAAATTTGCAAATTCATGTGAACTATATTCTCCACCGCGATCTGTGCGTAGAACTTTGATTGGACTGCCTACCTCTTTTTCAACCAATGCTTTATAGCTTTTAAATGCTGGAAAAGCTTCAGATTTTTCTTCCAAGAAATAAACCCAGACTTTACGACTAAAATCATCAATGAAAGTAATTATATACCTCTTACCTCCATTAGAACATGGAGTAATTGGTCCGCATATATCGGAATGAACAAGCTCTAGTGCAGCCTTTGCCCTCCATGATTTTCCTTGTGGGAATTGATTCCGGTGTTGTTTGCTAACGACACATTCTTCACAAACTTCAGAAGGGATTGTGATTTGAGAAAGACCTGTCACCATATTCTTTTGTTGTAAGGTCTTTAACCCACCAAAACTGAGATGCCCGTAGCGAAAGTGCCAAAGCCATTCCTTTTCTTTTAACCTTGCAGAAAGACATGATTGAGTATTGTCTCGTAGATACAATGGAAACATTCTATTAGTTGTCATGTTCACTTGAGCTATCAAACCCAATTTTTCATCTTCAATTCTGCAAACTCCATTTTTGACATAGATTCCATATCCCTTTTCTTGAAGCTGGCCAACACTTAGTAAATTTGTTTTCAAGTCTGGAACAAAAAGAACATTAGAAACAGTTTGAACATAATTTTTCTTGGTATGAATGTCAATTGTTCCTTTTCCCATGACAGAAACTGTAGAGTTGTCACCAAACTTAACAGTGCTGCGAAATGATTCGTCTAAGTCAGAGAATGTCTTCTTATCACCACACATATGATTGATGCAACCAGTATTTAAATACCACAGATTATCTGGAATTTTCTCGGTTACATTGCACACCATCAAGAGAGATTCCTCTTCTTCTCTTTCTGCAAAGTTGGTCATTTCTCCATTTTGGCCATTCAAGTTAATTCTACATTCATTTTGATAATGACCATATTTATGACAACGATAGCACTCAACATTAGATTTTGGGCGATAATTGTTTGAATGATTACCTCCACGATAGCCACCTCGACCTCTTCCTCTTCCTGAGTTGTCTAAATTCTTGTGGTTGGCAGGATTGTTGCTATGGTTGCTGCTACGACCATTGTCACCTCTACCGTAACCACCTCGACCTCTTCCTCCGCCCCTACCTCGGCCTCCTCTAAAATTTGAGGTATTTGAATAAGTCGAGGCTTTAAGTGCTTGCTCCTCTTTGTTTTGGTTGCTGATTTTGTTCTCATGAACCAGCAAGGAACTTTGCAATTCATCAATTGAAAGTTCATCCACATCATTTGCTTCTTCTATCGAACAGACAACAAAATTAAATTTTGGTGTCAAGGATCGAAGAATCTTCTCAACAACAGTGACATCTGTTGTCTTGTCACCATGAATCCGCATCTTGTTAACGATAGCCATCACTCTTGAAAAGTAGTCTGTAACTGACTCTCCTGATTTCATTCGAAGTAATTCAAACTTCGAACGAAGTGATTGAAGCTGTTGCCTCTTTGTTCTTGTTGTACCTTGGTATTTCTTCTTCATGGAATCCCAAATATGCTTTGCAGTGTCCTTGCAAAGAATGGTTTCCAAGATTGATCGATCAATTGCTTGGAAAAGATAACACTTTGCTTTGAGATCCTTCAGCTTTAGTCTTTCCTGCTCCGTCTTTTGCTCGTCTGACAACGCAGCATCTGCTGTAGGTTCTGCTACGCCAGAAACAACAACCGTCTAGTATTCTTTGGATCTCAAGAAGTTCTCCATGAGCATGCTCCAATGGTCATAGTGACCATTAAAGCGTGGAATAGCTGCTTGCACAAATCCATTTTCTGAAGCCATGTGTGAGAAAAAAATTACAGCTATTTTTTTCTTTTATGCAGTCCCTCTCACGTAACCTAGCTCTAATACCACTGTTATCAGAGAAACTAAAATACTGGATGATTTTATTCATAAGAATAGGCATTTTTGTAGGCATAACAAAGTGTAACTGCTGTTTCCATTTTTCCTAAAAAGTAGCTATCCACTAACCAACTAACACATGATACCGCAATTCCTAAAGACCAGGTTTTAGCAACTGCTATTAATTTTAAACAGTAACAATTCTAAAACAAATAAATAAATACATAAATCTTAACAAATAAATAAATAAATCTTAACATAGCTTGCGGTAGTTAGAACTTGAGAAGCATCTCTCATCTAAATACCAGAGGTTACAAAGGGGTCAGGTTCACCTTGATAAGACGGAGGTGAAGGATGAGAGGTTGGAAAAGCTTGGAATCCTTGATTAATTATTGGAGGAGCCAAATCTCACAGTGTTGAAACGAATGAAGAAGTTACTAAGTCAGGATCGTCCATCTCTAGTGAAAGAGGATGAACTCTTCTAGCTTCGGTAGTTATAGTGGTGACTTTGGCATATCAAGCTACCTTCTAATCACCATAACTCTTAGAATTCAGTATCATATTGTTCGGGATGAGATAAGTGTTTGTAAGGAAAGAATTGAAGATCTGAATCTTCAATGGAGAAATTGTTATGTGCAAAATTGGTAGGAATAAAAAATTGACTCTCGCTGACAGCGTCACAGTTCTGTTTGCGAATCAGAGATGATTTATAAAATGGTGAGATGAGATCTTGTATCATTGAAGCAAGTTTCGGTGCGATCGAGAAGGATTGACCAACAAAGTTAACACTCCAACATACAAGGCAATAAGAGAAGAAAATGTAAACTAAGAGTGAGAATGAATTTCAAATACTTGAAATAGAGCATTTGCTCCCTTAATATAGAGTAAGCGATTAAATCGTCTGTCTGCATGAAGAAATGTGTGTTACACATAGAAAGATGTGTCATGTGAATGATCGTTGGATTTAATCAGACGTTATACGATTTATTTAGAAAGCAAAATCATTTGCCCTTGGTGAAATGAAAGATCACATGTGCTTTTACATTGTTCAAATTGGGTGATTCTAATATTTAATTGTAACTTCTTTTATTTACATATTTTAGTATTGTTCTGGCTAAAAACACTACATTGTTTAAATTGGTTGATTCTAATATTCAGTAGTAACTTCTTTTATTTACTTATTTTAATATTATTCTTACTAAAACACTAAAAAGTTGACTTCTTCGTTATTATTCAAAGAGAATTTTAAATGAATAGTTTCAAGTGTCTGTTTTGTATATGATTATTGTTTATCGATTGTTCGTTTTTGTTTTCCAATAATCCTTATTTATAGGATTCCTTTTACTGATACATCTTCCTAAAACGTCTGTCGCTTCTCTTCAATGATTGTAACTCTCTAATTATAATGTGTTCTCATGTAACCCTCTCTCGTGTCCTTTGATGTGAGATTTGGACTATTGATGTGACATTTGAACTTTGTAGTCGCCCTTAATGATCGATATAGTTCTCGGTTTGGAAAAATCGATTTATCCTTGAATAGTCCAGCTATTCTCAACCAAAATCCAGCTTATAGGCATAAAATTTTCCGGTTAGTTATGCTCTAACATGCTCGGTATTACCGAGTTAGTGTCCAGGCTCGTCAACATAATTCCGGGGATGTACAAGTATATCTTTCATCAGTTATCATTAAGATGCATATACCTCCGTTGGAAACACAGCAAGAAACAGAAACTGCAAGTATATATTTTTCTATATTACATTTACAACTCGCACACTACTTACTATTACTGTACATTACATTTCACACACTACTTATTATTACTGTACATTGCATTTACAACTCACACACTACTTACTATTTACCATCACTATACATTATAAGAGGTTTGTTTAGCTACCTAAAAACATGATAATATATGACTTTAAGCAAGTAAACTATATGAACACAAAAGTAAGGTTCAACCCAAGCTCACCATTTGAAAATTTGTGGTAAGAGATTGGTACGAGATTCAACTAGTTTGTCCAACCAAACCACTAGCAGATCCACCCCAATCCGTTGGTTTACTTATCAAATCTTCTAACTCAAGATAGATATTAGAGTCATTCACATCCATTTCTTCGTCAATAACAGAATTTTCACTCAATAGTTTCTCTGACATAACATGATAAGCAGAAGAAACATCTTGCGCACTTTGTCTAGAATCACCACAAGCTCTCATTTCATGTAAAGAGCTAACAAATCCATTCTCCAATGGCTCCGAAACCGGTGGTTCCATTCTACCAATGTTCACATTTTCAGTAAAAAGTCCATTCAATTCAGTCTGCAAAGTATCAAACTGTTCGCGACCTTGAGACCTGTAATCAACACTAGTACCTTGTGTTCCAAGTAATCTAGGCCTTTTAACCATATCTATACCACCATCAACCTCTTTTTTCCGCTTCATCTTCTGAATTAACTGATCCATAAACACCGGCTTTCTAGCCATTTTGGTGAGGAAATATATCATTTGATATTGCTTCATCTCGGCGCGACGAACCCGCTCATTAACATTTGTGAGTTCGATATTTGAATTCTCTTGTTGCTGCCTTAGCTTCAGAATTTCCAATTTCAACATGTTCTGATCTCTCTTAAGTTTCTCCACCTCAGATTCAACACCAGGTGTCATCAAATTGAATCCTCCTTGATGTAGTTTGTTATACTTACTTCTCCTTCTTATAGTCTTCAACAAATGCTTCTTCCCTCCTTTAAATCCTTCGTTCGCAAACTCCCATCGGTCTGAATCAATCTTCCTAAACCCCTGATTGTGAACAGATTCATAAAAGTTCAATACATAAAACAAGTAACATCAAATTTGAGGTTCGAGTTAAATTCTAAAAATTCTAACTAAACTAAAATCATATATATAATAAAAAAACATAGTTAAATAAATATGAATATTATGTGCGAAACCTAGCGGAAGAATCCGGTCTTGCTAAGTCGCTCATCCTCAGAATTTTTTACTTACATAGGTGTTGAGTTGGCGAATGAAGCTAGAGAAATTATTGTGCTTAAAATATTTGGGAAGAAGAGTTTTGGAGAATTCATGATAATCCCAAACAATGAAACTATCCCGAGAACCGCTCCACGAAACAATCGGGTCGGTTTCGGGATCCTCCACCATTTCATACGTCTTCTTGAGAAACGGCGGTGGACCAACTTCATGCAACCCTGCCATTGGTTTCGGAAACTCCATCGAAGACGAAGCGTTAGCACCGTCGTCTTCAGCAACTTCTTCTTTGATGTGAATAGCGTGAGAAGCTGTAGCACCTTCTTCTTCAGTTACTACTGAGTCTTTTCTTTCGCTTAAAACTTCGTTGTAACCGGGCGAACTTGAACCTGCACTGTCATCGAATAACTCTGCTTTTACTGATGGGATTAGGTTGGACCTGACGCCACCGATTTCACCGTCGTATCCACCGTGAGCCACCGCCATTTTGTTTATTTATTTATTTTGAGGAATTCGGTGTCACTCTGCTTTGCCGCTTGGGTGTCTCTGTGTCTGTGATGTAATCGTAGAGATGTGAATGTCTTTGGGGGAAAGAGTTACACGTTAACGTTCGTTTCTATTTATAGGTGATAAATAAATCTAATTAAATTAAGAAGGATTTTTTTGTAAACTTACTTCAAAATTTAATTTGATTTTAAAATAACTAAATATTCAAAATTTTCTAAATTAACAAATTTTATTTTAATCTAACCAAATGGTAAAAGAAAAAGACAAAAAGGATAGAGCGACAAAAAGATGCTAGAGTAGAAGAAGAGTAAGACTGACATAGCGGAGCAGGGGAGAACAACGCATCTTTGCACCGGTCAATTTTTCGGTAAAATCAGACCAATAGCCACGTTTCATATTTTCTCTTTTCTTGTAAATTTGTATGGATATCGTATCATTTTTTTCTCAACCATATATTTAGTACGTGTAACATCGAAGATGAGATTATGACACGTGAGTTGTTATTTTCTTTCTTTCCTGGTCTAGGCAAAGGGATAGCATCCACGTGGCAGATGGGCAAAGTAATGAAATATAAACATGTCTTTCTCCTTTTCTAAAAAATAAACAGCTCTTTCTCTTGCAAATTAGTTGTAAAATTAAGATTATGCATTCATAAAGGAAAGGATAGATAAAATAATTTCTTTAATTGAAAAATTTTTTTTTTCAGTTTCAAGAAAAAGTTAAAATAATTTCAATCATCATTTTATTTCGTATCGGATTAAAAATAGATAAAAAATTAAAAATGATAAAGACTGTGAAATTTTTTATATAATTATTAGATTTTTTAATGTTCAAATGAATATCAATAGGATAAATATTATAATGTTCAAGAGAGTGTTTAAATGAGGGGAAACTATGAAAGTGTGTCTAAAAGAATGTTTTGATGTAACTCATAATCACACTTTTAAACTAATAGAACTGAACTCGGTTAAGATAGCGGGTGTATGGAAAATCATTGAATTTAGATTGAGAGAGAGGTTTATTGGGGCGTTTAGGAAAGTTGAAAGCACTAATAGAACTAGTGCTTTAGAATCACAAGAGAGGGAGACATTACATCTCAACCTAAAACCTTAAGGTGTTAGGTAAATGAGTCATCTCTCTTATGAATCCAACATTTCACTCGTTCATAGATAATCTAGGACTTTAACCACTCGCACTTGCACCCAACATTCTTCCCCCAAGTGTGAGTCTCTCACATCCTATAATAGGATCCAACACCGAATCCAGCTCTCGCTCCCCCACAAAGTCGAATCCCAACTCCGATATCATTATTAGGGAGTTAGGGAGTTCTAGAGAGTCGGGAGCACCAATGGGACTAATGATCCAAGACCTCAAGAGAGGGAGACGTCACATCTCAATCCAAAACCTAGGAAAAACAACAAACAAACAAAGCATGGAGAAAAAAATAGGAAGACAAGCACAACACAAGAGTATAACATGAAAACTCCAAAATTGGAGAAAAAAACTACGACCGTTGTCAAATGACAACCAGAGAATAACAATATGTTAAAATTGTTACAACATATAATATACCATAAACTAATTCAGACCCCAAATACACTCACACCTTACAAACTAAATATTTAACTACATCTTATAACACTATAGTACAAGACCCCCAATACACTCACACCCTTCAAAATAAATATTAACTACGTCTCACAACATTGTAATACTAGAGTATAAGAGAACAAACAAAGTCAAATACAAACTTAAAGTGCTTTTAAATAGTGCATCTTGGACTCCCTCTTCCTTCGCAAAACATAATGAAGAACTTGAATCTTATATATAGCCTTGGACTCCCTCTTCCTTCACAAAACTAAACGATGTGCGACTTCAAAGAGCTTGTATCCTATATAGCATTGGATCTTATCTTCATCCACAAAACTAAGCGATACGGAACTTTTTCAACATGTATATTTTCAACTAACCCCAACAATATCCATCTTGATTGAAAATAATACATAAGTTTTTATTGTCTTCACCAAAAATTATATTCCACCATAAAGAGTATTAATATGTATATTTAAAACTAACCCTGACAATCTCCACATTTATTGAAAATAATACATAAAATTTCATTGTATTTTTACCGACAATCATACTCACCATAAAAAGTATAGTCATTTGAAGCTACACCACTCCAAGAATTTTCACATTGTCTTCACCGACAATCATAGTTTTAAAAATTATCATACTCTTTCATGAAGAATATATTTCACTTGAAGATAAACCACTTCAAGAATTTCACATTGTCAACACCGAAAATCATATACTTTATCATGAAGAATAAATTTCACTTAAAGTTAAATCACTCTAAGAATTTCACATTGTTTTTACTGACAATTATTGTTTTAAAAAACTATCATACTCTACCTAAAGAAGAGTATACTTCACTTGAAGTTAAACCACTTCAAGAATTTTCACACGTCGAAAAACAGGTTAAAACTTTATGGTGCAAATTTCATGTTGGTCGGAAAACCTATGTTTGTTTGATTTTTACAATGGAAATAGAAAGTGGTTAATGTATACAAGTTCAATCACACTAAAAATATGAGATTCATTCTTCATGGTCCTAATAGGTCTTAAGATCTCATCATTATGGAGATAACTAGTAGACAAAACCCACGTGTTCTAACTCGTCACTCCGAGATGAGTTGATGGAGATAGAAACCTCATTCTCTAAGTTCTCTGTCACAAAGAAGAAATAAAAAAGTTAAGGAATGTGAACGTTTTAACACATCTTTGCCTCAACAACATGGCCATAAAGAGGCAACACCGGAGAACACCGTGGATGAGATGAAAACTCGAATAAGGAGGATTAAAAAAGAAAATGGTGTTAATCAATAAGAATTTGAAGATGATGACTATGATTATGTCGCCATTTCAAAGTCAATGAGGGACATTTCATTTCGAAGGCCCCAAGGAGAAAGCGGTCAAAGGAGGATGTGACGTAGTTTCTTTTTATAAATAAATCAATATAAAACCAATACTAAGGAGTTATAACAGACTAACAAATATCTGATACTCTAGAGTCCCTTGTTTTTCCATGTACCATGGAAAGAGTTGCCCTCTTATGGTTCTCACACCTTTAAAAGAGATCTTTCAAGTCATGGAAGCAACCAGTCAAGATGTTTCAGTCAAGACACACGTCAAAGAGTTCAACATGCCTAGTTTGATTTATGCAAAGCTCAAAGGATTCCCTTAGCTTTGTTTTTGTTTCAATAACAAAATTTCTCAAATCAAACATATGGGTTCATTTATGGTGTTTCATGATAGGATAGTAAGACTTTGTTAAATGTGAAATTTGAAGAAAAAATAAAAAATAAATTTCATTTCACTTAAAATATTAAATTCGAAAAGATCTCAGGACATATTTGTGTAAAAATCATAAGTTTTTATTTTAAATTCTTATGGTTGATGTTGGGTGCTTATTAGCAAGTGCACGAAAATGCCAATTATAGTATAAAAAAAATATCGAACTCACATAGACCAATGTCAATCTACTGTTATTTGTTGCAGCTTTTTAAATCTAAGGTTATCCGTACAAATTTTACTAGAGATCAGAATAAAAATGTTTGCTTAAGAATTAATTGAAACGGAGACCAGAATAAAAATTTTGGGTACCTTCGGGACTCAAATCAAATTCTATTCTAAACTAATTAATTCCTAAATCTTAAATTAATTATTAACTATTATTAAAAAAGGTTAAATAAAAACCTAACTAATCTAAACAAATCAAAATAAACCTAAATTAACAAACAACTGTTAAAAATAAATCATAAAATGCAACGAAATAAAAAAAACGAATGACAGGGGCGAATACCGAAATGCAACAAAATTCTCAGCACGGACTGAACCACCAGGAAGAGTACGATCTTTGTTCGATATCGACATGAAACTTATCATTCGAACTGGTTTAAACTGTCTAAAATGTAAACAAAACGAATGTAATTCCGATAAACCCATTATGGCTGATAACATGGACAGTGTGCGAGAAATAATCGACCTAGATGATATGCAGATGAATGTGAAGCAAAAGCCAGTCAAAGTTTAAAAAAAAGAAGGGCAAATTTTGGGGTGCAACACACTTATTCCCATATCAAACCAAAAGCTCTAATACTAGTTGTTGGAAAAAACAAACAAACGTAGGTTTTGGGTTAAGATATGATGTCTCCCTCTCTTGTGATCCTGGAGAATTAGTTACATTGGTGCTCCCGAATCTTCCGAACTCCCTAAGAATGTCATGCTTCTATATGGTACCCACGAACGAATGACATGTACGTCAGTTAATGGAGAGCTCATGTTAGATTGAATTTATGATTTGTGTTGGTTTGAATGAGTCTCTGAGCGATCCAAAATAGTTTATTTTCTCTCTAAAAATCTAGAATAATGTGTCCATATTTCAATCGCACAAGGATGCTTTTGAATTCCTTACATGAAATGTTCTAATAAAGGTGTGGAACGTTATTCAAAATGGTCCTATTAAAATTACTATGACCAATGCGGATAACGTTGTTGTGCCTAAGCCGGAAGCACAATGGAACGAGGAGGATGAGAAAAAGTATAGTTACGATTGGAAAGCTAGAAATATTCTCATATCCTCTTTGGAAGTTGATGAATATTATAAAGTTTCCCATTGTACTACTGCTAAGGATTTGTGGGACGAATTGCAAGTTTCCCATGAGGGAATTAATGATATCAAACTAGCTTGAATCAATACTTTGACATAAGAGTTTGATCTCTTTCACATGAAGCAAGGTGAAACCATTACTGAAATGCAAAAGAGATTTTCTCATGTAATCAATCGTTTAAATACACTTTGAAGACTCATTTCTATGAAGTTGCTACTAATAAAATTTTGAGATGTCTTAATAGGGAATGACAACCTAAGGTCACGACGATCAAGGAATTCAATTATCTCACTACATTGGACAAAA